GCACTCTACCCCATCCTCTGTCTGGTCACACCTGCCTAACGTCAGCCAAAGTTAAAGGACCTGACGAATGTGTCAGGGTACAAACTGTTTTTGTACACCATGCAACGTCCTTGCAGTTTGTTTTTTTGGTGTGTGTAGACATTCACATTTAACTTCTGATTTTGATCTAACAAAACTCATATATATTGGTTACTTTTGATTGCAATGAGCATAGTAACAATGTATTCCAATATATATAATTCTTTGGCATTGTTTTAGCTATACACGTCTCGCAACTTTTCTTGCAACTTTTGCTAATTTTTCTTGCAACTTTTTGCAACTTTTGCTATTTTCAAATGCAACTTTCTCCGAGGACTGTTAAAGAAAGATTATATCTTGTTATTCGAATTTCATCTTGAACACCTGGGGTGTTTTATGATCACTCTGAATGATGCTGGTATGTGTTAATAACAAAGTTAGAAATATTAACTGCCACCTACCCTTAAAATTCAGTACAAGCTGAACTTTGCTGGTGAATGGCAGGCGCTGCAAAGACCAAGAAAGCTGAACACCCTGTGTGCGACAGTTAGTGCTGGACCTCTCTACAAAGACAGAGTGAAGATAACTGCCTTCCAGTATAAATATCTACAGGAGTTGAAGGCTGTCGTACCACAATGCTACGACAATTACTGTAAAACGTTGCCTCAGTAGGAAGCTTTGAAAGCGATCGAGTCAAATTCGATTATTGTAAAGTCTTTCAAAACAATGGTGACTTTTTGTCGTATTACTATGTTACAGCCACAGGACACAGAGTGAGACAGACATGCTCTTCTGTTGTTGAGAAAACTCAATAAAGTAGTTGTTGTCAAGCCACGCACCTTGAAGAAAGTTAGCGTATTCTTTGATACCTACAAAGTATTTTTGAAAAATAACAATAGGCTATATTTTTAAGTAACCAACTTCACTCAAATCATTGCTGAAGTAGCGGTTCTTTTGTGTGTGGCTTTCTGCTTTCATTTCTTTCTTAGTATTACTTTTTCCCAGACCTTTGCGAATGGCCTCCCAGTGTCAATAGTACCATGTCAGACACTGTCATAATTCTAAAGGCCTGCTGAAGCTGCTACTATGTTGTTGTTGTTGTTGTTGTTGTTGTTGTGATTTTTGTTGTTGTTGTAGCTGCTCTCCTTTACCCTTCGAACTTCCTGCTCTTTTGTTTCAAATGTAAGTAATAGACCCATTGCTGTGTTCTGCTTCTTCTACTTCGAGTAAATTTTCAACTTTGTGACTGCTGTTTTTGCCCGAATTGACTCCATAGCACTGAAATGGCAACAGCTGATAGTATGTTGGTAGCAATAAAATTGTCTTCCTCCTCCTTTTCCTGTTTCTCCTTATCCTCCTCCTCCTCCCCCTCTTATTTTTCTCCTCCTCCTCCTCCTTCTCCTCCTATTCCTCCTCCTCCTCCTCCTCCTTCTTCTTCTTCTTCTTCTTCTTCTTCTTCTTCTTGTGATGATGATGATGATGATGATGATGATGATGATGATGATGATGATGATGATGATGATGGTGATGATGATGATGATACATGTACCACAAAAGATCACGACGATTAAAACAACAGATCGAATACGTTACCGGCAAGTGCGGCTTGGCTGCTCTCAAGGCCAGCAGTGGCTTCCTGATAAAACCGGCCAACCCACAAAATTGAGGGTTGGTGGGTTTTATCAGGAAAAATTTGAGCGACATAACCGTCCAACCCACGCAGTTTCCTTAAAAGCTATTTTTAAGGAAAAAAATTGTAAACAGTTTTTTAGGAAAGTGTTTTTAAAGGAGTTTAGAAAATTGATTTATCGTTAGACACCTTTATTTTGAAATAAAACAGCTTTTCCCTTCTCCTGTAAAATTTACCTCGCTGGGGTTAGTCGGTTTATCACAAGGTCGACGATATGCAACAGCAGCAGCAGGGGTTCATGGAAGAAGGGGTGTTGTGTAGCCAAACACCTTTGCCAATCTGAATCAACGCCAATTTTAGAAAATATTGTAAACGTTTAAGATAAACCAGCTATTTATATAAGTGTTGCATTTTAAAATGTTGTCAGTATATAATTATTAGATACTTTATTTGTACCCGATATTAAACAACGCTCTTTGGGTGTTCAGTGTGCGCACAGGATCAATACGAAATGAGTGATTTAGTATCTCAGCCTACAATTAATTGCTCATTTTGAGACGATAACGAATTAATATATTAAATAATTAACCCAGTCTTAATACCCTTCATACTCAACGAAGAACTATATAGGCTTTGCATCAGTAGAAGGAGATGTAGACAACAAGACATAAAAGCAATCCATTCTGTAATTGTCCTTTTTCTTAATAACAAACTACATTACTCACTTTGTCTCGCCCTGTTTCTTATCCTCTAAAAAATGGTACAGACTGAAAGTGGACAAACTATGGGAAGGTAATATTAACATAAGAAAGATTATTTTTGCTACTGCAATGTTCAATGATCAATGAATAATTTTTAAATGCTTTTATTCACAAGTTAGTCCAGAGTGAATACAGACAATACTAATATAGCCTATATATAATCAAAGATAGTACATAACATGTAGACTCTTTGATATAATACCACTGATAATACGTTGACCCAACATAAACCACATCGAACGGAATTTATTTATGGAGCATGCGCACAAATAGATCTATCCCCGCCCCAATGCCAAGGGCAAAAACTCTGAAAGGACTTTCCCCACTTGGTGGCGGGACGATCGACGTCGCGTCACGCTGGAGTTTCAGTTTTCACTGTGTCAGTCAGTGAGCTGAGCTGCTATAAGGGCTTAGCAAGCCTTGTTTCAGTCGCGCTGTGTCTTAGTTGTAAAAATGACAACTTTACCTCCTAAGAGAAAAATATGCTACTACTATGATGGTAGGTGTTTTTAGTGAAAATTTGAGTGTCTTTTCTGTAGCGCTTTGCTTTTCTAAGTTTATCTTGTTCTTGTTTCCCTTCTCTTTCGCAAAATTACGAGACTCTACACTGACTGAACAGTGAAGTGAGCGTGGCGGTGGCAATCGGAATCATGAATGAGCTTTCAGCAAATCTAGAGATCTAATTAAGACAAAATTCTAGTGAAGTTTTAAATTATTACAGAAGTATCGGTCTCAAGATTGTTTACGGTATACGCTGGTGAAATCTTTTAGAAATCAGGATTTTATCCGCTGAGGCAAGATCTGTAGACTCCTTAATTCGAAATTCGTTGATTTCTTTGTGGAGGAAAAAGTATGGAAAGCCGTTTCCTGGAACATAAAGCAAGCCGTCTTTTTATTTCAGTTTCATTTTTTGGGGGGCCCCATATTTTGTGAAAGTCTGCTTATTTGTAAACATGAACAAAAATGTAAGCAAGCACTTTTAAATGATTACCAAAATGTTTTTGTTGTAAACAAACTAAGCTTTTCAAGGCTTAGAAAAATGACCCTCAAAAGTATGGAATACCAACATCCATGGTAATTGATTTGCAGTTTAGACCCATTTTTACAGAGATCTAGATCTAGATGTAGGCAGTAGGCTACATTATTAGGCTATCCTTTGTTAATGATTGTTTTGGTTTTCCCTCAAGCATGATGTTTTGATCCAGATTTTTAGATTGAATTACTTTTAACTCACTTGACTGTTACCGACTGTGACTTGAGTGAGCCTATTCCCATAAACGAAGTGACTATTCGGACTCGAGTCCGAATATGAAAAAATGTCGGACTGTGATTCTTGTCCAACGTGACTTCACTTCCGACTTCCTGTGACTCGTGACTCCGGCTTCCTGTCCTACCTCACTCGTGACTCGCCTCAGGCTGGAGAGACTGGGATCACTTTGGGCAAAATGGCGTTTTGTGCATGAGCCGAGTTTTTATCTTATGATATGATGATGAATTTGAGGCCGGCCTGAAAAGTTATAGGTCTAGATCTAGCGCTTTTAATAAATGTTTATTTGTCAAGAGGTCATCAGAAGCAATTAAAGATGGCTCGTTAGCGTGTGTTGGGGTCGGATGGCGGCCTGCACACGTGTGGTTGTGTGTGCGTGTCGGGGGGGGGGACTATCGGTCCGGGCGTTGAACGTTGCATACGCGTCAGTCTTTTTTCATGGCAACTGATCATTATTAAGCTAGTTTTGACATAGATCTATGTAATGAATTGTGCACTGGTCTATGGAATCAAAAGTTGCCGTATGCTCGGCGAAGTAATTATTCGGACTCGAGTCCGAATATGAAAAAATTATTCGGACTCTGATTCTTGTCCAGCATGACATCACTTCCGACTTCCTGTGA